ACCACAGTTTAAGCGGAGGAGCTGTATTTAAATAGGTTTACCACAGTGTAATCAGATGAGTTGTATCTGAATAGGTTTACCACAGTTTAATCGGAGGAACTTTTTCTAAATAGGTTTACCACAGTTTAATTAGAGTACCAGCTAGGTTTATAAAACAATCCCAAACTTTGGTCATGGCTGAAGAAGTACTACCTAGGTGTGTAAAACAATCCCAGATTTTGGTCATGACTGAAGAAGTACCACCTAGCGATATAAAACAATCCCAAACTTTGGTCATGACTGAAGAAGTACCAGCTAGGGTATAAAACAATCCCAAGCTTTGGTCATGACTGAAGAAGTACCAACAACGTGTATAAAATAATCCCAAACTTTGGTCATGACTGAAGAAGTACTACCTGGGTGTGGTACAATCCTAAACTTTGGTCATGACTGAAGAAGTACTACCTAGGTGTGGTACAATCCTAAACTTTGGTCATGACTGAAGCAGTACCACCTAGGTGTGGTACACTCCTAAACTTTGGTCATGACTGAAGAAGTACTACCTAGGTGTGGTACAATCCTAAACTTCGGTCATGACTGAAGAAGTACCACCTAGGTGTAGTACAATCCTAAACTTCGGTCATGACTGAAGAAGTACCACCTAAGTGTGAGAAACAATTCAGATGCTTGCTCATAGAGAGACATATAAGGACTGAATGTAAAATAATGCTTACATAATACTTCTATTAAGAGAAAAATTTCATAAGCATCTATACTGCAGTTTAAAAACTTCTAAAGAAAGGGAGCTAGTACAAAAAAAAACACAATCGAGATATTGAACACTTGAGTAAGGAAGCACATTATGTTGATATAATAATAAGTTAACAACCAAGAATTTTTAAGCATAATGAATTGATTTATTTCCAGAGGAGATGTACTACATGTTTCAACAGAACATTGGTCTATTTGTCATTCTCAATATTTTACTATTACCACAAACTCTAAACTAATGGTTGAATTGAACTTTCTCAGTAAATAACACATTTTCATTTGCAGGGATTTTGCTGTTCTTGCTCCAGTTCAAAAGGTAAACACCTACGAGGAAACCAGTCTTGTGAAGAAGATTTAGATTTATACAATGCAAGTACTCACTGTCTTAATTTTAGCAAATACTGGTAAGTTTTAATTGTTTTATTTTATCACAGTATAGATGTTTATAATCAAACTAAGTCTACTAAACAGAAATTTAGTGACATTGTTCAACTGATTTATAGTACATTGTAATATGGTGAAGGTTTTTATATACACATAAACTTAAATGCATCAGAATCTTTTTATCTTTTACAATAAAAGTTTCTACACACTAGATTTATCTTAGTTCTTGTATAGTTTGTGTTATTATGTTTTAATTTTACATGAACACTATCTATTCCATTTAAAATCTTAAACACTTCAATTAGATCCCCTCTAACTTTTCTTTTCTCTGAGAAAAAAAATTCAGAGATCATAACCCTTCTTCACATGACAACCTTTCTATCCGAGATATCATTCTAGTATACTTTCCAAGGTATGGAACCCAAGACTGAACATAAAATTCCAAATGTGACCTAACCAATGACCAATCACTGACATTATAACTTATTTACCATTGTTAGGTTTTTATAGGGCCACGATTCTTTACAGTACATGTCTGTGATGTGTTGGCAATTAATTTCAATGATAAACAAACAGCACACAGTCTACTTGTTTTAAAATAGTATATTCAAAACAAGTCAAACATATTAAAAAAATCTTTGCACTATAGGTTATCACAGATATATCCAGAGCTTTAAAGGATTGTCTCTTTTTTGCCAAAGTCCACACAGGCAGGTTCAATTACTTTAGAACACCCTCTGACAAGACAAATTATTTTCCTCTACTTGTTATTCCAATACAGTCAGTGATAAATTTACTTATTTTACTCTGTGGGTTACCAATGATGTATCCAGAGCTTTAAATAATTGTCCTTTTCAGTCAAAGTCCACACAGGCTGGTTCAGTTACTTTAGAACCCAACTGACAAGGCGAATTCTACTTCTCTGCTCTGTTATTACAATACAGTCTGTGATTATAACACTTTAAAAGTCACCATTATACCATCTTTATGGCTAAACTTGCAGACATAGCCTAGATCTATATATCTTTCACTAACTTTGTCTTTCTTTCATGAACTTACTTACATAAGCTTAACTTGATCATCTGTAGATATATATTGTCTGTCTGAGACCTAGAACTTTCTGCAAACTATGAGGTGATATGATGTAACAATAAACACTTAAAGCAACAATAAAAATTCTAAAGGTTCAACTAATATGATGTCAATTCACAACAACTGGTTTGTAAACATTTACGTAAACAAACCTGTGATTAAATTATTGCTTCTAAAAATACTAAATTTAACACTCATGCTTTGTAACTATCTAAATCATAACTCTTATATTAAATTAAACTTCAACAGTTCTGTATATCTAACAATAAGCCTCTCTTCAGGAAAAATATTTACAATATATTTTACACTATATATAAAGACAGTTTTCAGTTCATACACAAAGTCCACTCATACAGTCTGCACCAACATTTGCAATCCCCTTGATATCTTCAATGAGGAACTTATAGTTCTGGAGATACAACGCCCACCTCACACTTTTCCTGAGCTCTTGTGGTGACTGCATATGCCTTGTCAGTCTTCTTTCTGTTTCTTCCAAACTTCTACTGCCTGGTATATTGCCAATCTTCAGGTCATAGATGGATGCCTTCATACACATGGTCTCTTGCTATGGGGAAACTTTCTCACTGTCAGCACACACAGATGTACCTTGCCTATCATCTGATCATCAGATACTAGACTGGTTCTCACTGCAGCACCCAGTGTCTCATAGGACTTTCACTTTCTTGTTCCCAACATAGCCTTCACATCTCTATGTTTATCATATGCTTCATCACCTCTGGCACTGTTAACCCATTTGCTAACTTGAGTTGACCATCAATCATGCACTGTTTAACCATGTTGTTAGAACTTCCTTCTTATGGTGAATCTGATGAGCTGTCTCTATTCTGTTTCTTGTGGCAGCAGAATCCATGGTGATAGTCACTTGTGTCTTGTTTCTTGCCAGCACTGTTTTTGTAGTGTAGATAGCTCCAGCTACTTTATGTTGAGATTTCTGCTGCTACTTGTTGATGACAGACTTGCACTCACTCACAATGTGACCCTTCTTATAACAAATATAACATATCATCTACCTTTTGTCTGTTAACCTCTTTTCACCTTTCATAGCATCCTGTTTCTGGTCATCCAACCCTGGTTTCTACTTTGACTGGATATTGTTGGACTAGTCAGTTATACTTCCTCAGTGGGTTTCCATATATTGTTCTGACAACTTGATCATCTCATCCATGTCTCCCAGTGTTCTCTTGTTTAGGAACAGTGACATTTCAGTGGAGCACATGATCATGAACTGTTCATGTATTAATAGATCTGCCAGTCTTTCAAAACTATCTTGACACTTGGCCATGTTAGTCTACCTTTGTGAGGTGTGCCACAAACTGAAACACAGTTTTTTCTGAACTTCCAATGAAAGTCTTTGGTAAATTCATAGCATTTCAAAAAGAAGAAGAAGAAGATGGAAACGAAGGTGGCAAATCAAATTACAGCTTAGCAGATTTGATGGCAGCAATACAAGAACAGCAAAAGAAACAAGAAGAACGAGAAAATAAACAAGAAAAGAAACAAGAAGAGAGACAACAGCAGTTGCAAGAAAACCTGCAACAGTGGTAGCTCGAACAGCAAAATAAACAAGAGAGATTACAGCAGTTGTTGGAGGGAAAAGAAAAGAAACAAGAAGAACGAGAAAAGAAACAAGAAGAGAGACTACAGCAGTGGTTGGAGGAGAAAGAAAATAAACAAGAAGAGAGAGACTACAGCAGTGGTTGGAGGAGAAAGAAAATAAACAAGAAGAGAGACTACAGCAGTGGTTGGAGGAGAAAGAAAATAAACAAGAAGAGAGACAACAGCAGTGGTTGGATGAGAAAGAAAATGAATAAGAAGAAAGTCTCCAACAGTTAAAAGAAAGCCAGCACACACAAATGGAAATAATTAGTAAATTTCAAAGTGAATTAAATACATTAAATGATGATTTACTGTCTTTTACAGAAGGAGGGTATATTAGCCATGGACCTAATCAGCCTCAGACAACGGGAAGCCCCTTCCAGACCCTGCAGCTAAACCCTAATGCAGACATCTTCATTCCTGTCAGAAGTCACATTCCAGACATGAGTGTCAGCAATAGGGGTGATCTAGTATGAAGGAAGCCATAGAATTTGATGGGAAGGCACCATCGAAAGCATATAGAGCACAATTTGAGCTCCTGGCAGAAATAGATGGATGGACAGAGGAGCAGAAAGCAGTGTACCTGACAACGAGCTTGAAGGGACAACCACTGGAAATACTTGGACAGTTTTCAGCAGACGACAGGCACTGGTAGCTGCTTTAGAACTCAGGTATGGAACTCAAAATCAGTCCGAAGCCTACGTGGCTAGGTTAAGAACTAGAGTCTGTGCTAAAGGGGAGAGCCTGCAAGAGCTGGCACAGGACTTGGAAAGTATGGCACACAAGGCATACCCAACTGCACCACCCGATGTCCTCAAGCTATTGCTGAGGGATCAGTTTTTAGACACCTT